TCAAATATAAAAAATTGTCAAGAACAATAAATCTACAACCATTATGACCAACAATCAGCCGATTCTCTACAAATAGCAAACTTAAAAAACTGGAGATGCCTTATCATCACAACTCACCATCATAATGTTTTTACGCAAGAAGCTTCATATGCCAAAACACAACAAACTCTAGCAGTTAATCTGCAACCCATGAATGCATACCTGACAATATATCTAACTCAAAGAAAAATCGGTCAAAAAGGGACAAGCAAAACCCCTAACTCATCAACTTAAATAATTTGGTCTAAATTGTAAAAGTATTAATATGGAACTCACCTCACAAACATGATAAAAATTCCGACGAAGAAGATTAGGACTCCAATGAAGATGATCGGATTCAGGCGATTATGAGGTTCCCTCTTTCTGTAAAAAATAAAAAAAACTCACGCGGCCGCTAGCTTTCCAAATTGGTGAGAAATTTTCTCACATCAAACCCTAGAAATCGGCTCCCTCTAGTTCATACCTCCATGTCGTCGGGCTTCAATCTGTCGGGCTTGTTCGAGAATCGAAGAAATTGTGCTTTTTGTTGATATCCAACTTCTCGGCTCACCCGATTAATGCGAAATCAGAGTCGAAATGATTGCATCGAAAATGGCTTGAGATCCAAAAGCGAGAGAACTCAAATCGGAGGAAAAAGAGGATCACGCGTGCAGAAAATGAAACACGAATCAGCGATATTCACGCAAAAAGGGCACCTTTTACTCCGACCCAAACGGCGTCGTTTCGATGATGGGCGACGTGGCCGCATAAAATTGCAGCGACACGTGTCACATAAAGAAGGCATAACCTTCTTTTTATAGATAAGAGAATAATAAGATACAAGTAATAAATCCGATAAGGGCGCGTTTGGGTAGGTTTGCAGAGTTCGGAAAGCTCGTTTATTTGGGCCGGCCCCGCGAGATAAATCCATATGTGGTAGAAAATTAATCCATTTGCGATCAAAAACAGGACATTACTATTCACCACCCCTTTATTACTAGTCACCGCCTTCTTTGAACGATTTTGTCCTCCGCATTTTTTTCTTTCGCCCAAAATATCGTCGGATTCACAGGTACTTTTTTCTATATGTCCGGCCGCCGGAACCGGATGGCCTAAATGGCGTCCGGCCGGACAACTTCATATGTGGCCGG